TTTGCGGCTACAGCTTTGAGAGGGGCACAGCCATGGGCTACAACATCCTACCTGTGTCCAGAGGAGTCCCTTTGGTGCAAGCCACCAGGGCCCCCATGCTGGGCTGCGAAGTCATCCCAGACATGGAGTCTGCTGCCACATCCACAACATCAGCCCCAGCTTGTGCACAGGCCAGCATGGCTGCCACACCTGCTCCTGATGTGTCATGGGTGTGGATGTGCAGCGGAAGGTCGGGGAATCGGTCCCGGAGGGAGCTGACCAGCATGGTGCAGGCCGCGGGCTTCAGTAGCCCCGCCATGTCCTAAAAAATGAAAGAAATATGGTGAGGAGGGATGTGACATGTTTCTGTGTTGCCGGCCACGGTGGGTATGGTGGGTATGGTGGGTATGGTGGGTATGGTGGGTATGGTGGGAGGGAAGAGGAAGAGGTGAGAGAAGCCCTGGTACCTTAATGCACAGGATGTGTGTGCCAGCCCGCACCAGTTCTTCAGCTAAGCCCATGTAGTATTCCAGCGAGTATTTAGTGCGACTGGGGTCAGCCACATCACCGGTGTATGAGATGGCAGCCTCCACCACGCCCCCAGCACTGCCTGCTGCCTCCATGCCCAGCAGCATGTTTGGCAAATAGTTGAGGGAGTCAAAGATTCGGAAGACGTCCATCCCATTCTCCTTGGCCACCTCACAGAACCTGGCGGGTGAGAAGAAAACAGGCGATTCCTACCTGCACCTCCCCCTCTAGTTCCTACCCCTAGCGAATGAAGCCTGGCCTGGCAGGGGAGCAGGGCCTTTTCCAGGTCAGCCAGGGCCAGGAGGTGACAGTCGCCGACAGCGCTGTCCAGCCTGACTGAGCCTGGAGGGTTAGGAAGAGTCTTGGCAAAGGTAGCTGATGAGCAGGGCCCTAAGGCCTGGGTTCCAGCCCCACTTCTGCACAGGGCCTCCTGGGACAAGTCATCTCCCTCAGTGTTAGCTGCCCTGGGGACCCAGAAGCCCAGCCTGCTCTGCCTCTACGGTCTGTGTTTAGTCCCCGTAGGGCACAGTCGGACGCTTTGGAGCCCACTGCTGTGTGGTCCAGCGACCCAGGCTCACTTGAAGACCACGTTGTCGGGGTAGTTGGTGTAGCCCACAGCGTTGGCCCCTCGCAGCAGCATCTGGAACGGGATGTTGGGGATGAGTTCCCGGAGCTCCTGCAGCCGCCTCCAGGGGCACTCGTACAAGAAGCGCATGGCCACGTCAAATGTGGCTCCTGGACAGGAACAGAGACGCTGGTCACTCCATACGTCACAAGGACCCTACAATGCCCTCCATAGCCTCTCACTCCCAGGGTTCCTCATGTTCTAGCCCTTACCAGCCTCTCCCCCCACTGATGCTCGGGGAAACAGGCTCATTTGTGCACCTCAAACTACTCAGGACAGGGTCTCCATCCGCCCGCGCAGCCTCGAGCCCAGGGCTTTCCAGCAGAAGCTGGCTGGAGCTGTGTCTTGTGGAACAAAAGCCTTCATCCTCATGGTCTCACTGCCGGCCTCCCTCTGTCCCTAGTGTCCTGGGCCTTCTGGGTTGGACACTCAATTTCTGCTAGCACTGCCCGACACCCCAGCCCTCCTCTAGCTACCTCCCCAGTTCTCCATGCTGAAGAGCCTGTCGAAGCTGTGGGCAACATAGGGTGCAATCTTTTTGAGGTCATGTGTGCGCACTCGAGTGGCCAGTAGTGACTGGTGGGCATCCCGGAAGGTGGTGTCCATCAGCAGCAGCCCCTGGTGATTCCGCACAGCTCGGGCAAATCCCTCAGGGCCCTCTCGCAGAAGGATGTCTCGGAAGCCAGCTGGGGGTGGGCCTAAGCAGACAAGAACATTGGTGCCTATCCTGCAATCTCCCATTACCCCCTTGAGTTGGTAGAAATGGATCTCACCTACCTATAGGCACTGCAGGAACAACAGGGTCCACAGGGCTGGGACTGGCCTTGACAGGGATTGGAGTGGTCGGGCCGTTCACCATGACATGTCCTGGGGACGAAGTGGGCAATATGTCAAGGCAGCCTGGGCAGAGTGAGAGCCAAGGGCAGTGAGTGGGTAGACTCTGGGATAGAGACTCTCCCCGGGACACCCAGGCCTCTTGGGTGCGGGCAGTGGAAACCTATTAGGGGCCATGTAGACAGAGAGGAGGGCACAGGACCGTAACAAGGAAGGGCTAGGGGGAGGGAGACAAGGAGCAGTCAGGAGGGAGAGGGTGGGCAGACCGAGGTAATGCAGCAGCTTCTGGGCCCGGTTCTGTGCGGGCCGCAGCTGGAACAGCTCAGGGTTCTCATCAATGAACTGGGTGTCCACAGTGCCCGCTAGGAACTGCTGGTTGTTGAGGACATTCTGCAGGAAGGGGATGTTGGTCTGCAAGACAAAGGCAGAGGGGTCACTGTGCGGCTCAAGGCAGGGAAGAGACTAGCCTGGAGCGCTACCGCTTCCCTCATCTCCAGCTTTCTGGCAATGCCGGAAGTTGCCAGGGGCTAGATGCGCACCCTCCATCTCTGCTCACCCCAGAACTTATGCCAATGCCACCCCTCTTACTTGGGTCTACAAACTAAGATCTAACACCCCCCAAAGCATAGAACCTAGCGCTGCCTCTCCTGTCTCAGCACACATACCACACTTTACCCCCCACCATCATGGGATCCCCTCTTCCTAACTCCAACAGCGCCCCCCTTAACTCCTCCGGGACCTCCTCTGCCCTGCCACTTCTCACAGCCACTGTCCTTAGGAAGCCCTGATCTGGACCTGCTGCTCCCGTGGGAGAGCCTCTGTCTCTGGAGCCAGGTGGAATGGTGGCCAGCATCTCCACGTTCCTCAAAGAGCCCTGTATCCTGTGCTCCCCCCCAGATATCTTGCAGATGGATGATGCCTGGTCTTCTGCCCTGGCTCCCCAGCTTCCTGTGTGGCTGGGTACACTGGACCTCTGTCCCATGACAAATCCTAGACTCAATCTCTTCTGCTCAGCCCACACCTTTCCCCTGAGCTGCCTCGACACTGCCACCTTTGCCCAACAGATTGGACAAGTGGGGTGCCTTGCCCACCAGCTTCTGACAGGAAGTCACTAACGATTACAAAGCAGGGCCCAGTCAGTTATCAGTGCCTTGCATCTGCTTGTCTCCTGGAAACTTGCCCATGCCCTAAAAAAAAAAAAAAAAATAGAGACCAGAGCGTCTGAAGAACCCAGGGCTGCTTAAGATGAGACAGATCCTCAGAGCCTCCCACCACCGCCGCCTCTACTGGAAGCTCCAGAGTGGTAGGAACAGGGCCAGGAACCACCTGGCTCCCAGCACAGGGCAACACATGGCAGATGCTAGAACACGTGTATGTTTGGAGTGAAGGGAACTCTTTAGGGGAAGAAAAAGTATCTGACACCGCCTCACATGACAGCTGAGCAGACTATAGATCCAAATTGTTTTGTAAAAGTTGAGGCGTCCCAACAACAGCAACAATCCAGGCAGTGGATTCCAGCGGCACGAACTTAAGCCCCTCAAGCCGCGCGGTTTCCTACGCCCTTAGGTGTGAATAATACAGGCAATTAACAACAGCCCTAGGTCTCCGCTAGGAAACGGTTCTGTGGTTCAGTAACGTGCTCAAGGCTGCGCAGCTGTACCAAGCAGGACTAGAATCCAGCCTTTGTCTGCCTGGATTCCTGCCATCCACACGCTCCTGAGATCCAGTTTGGAAGGAGGGGAAAAGGAAGAAGGGGCCCAGGTAGTCTAGGGGCTAGGAGATGCCCCGTAGAAGGTGACGACTTCCCATGCCAACTAGGTGAGCCACTCTTGATGGTGGAGAAAACAAGAACGGCGATGCCCAATCTGGTTCTGAGTCCTCTCATCCAAGCCCCGGCTCTGAAGCCACTTCGCATCTTAGACCGTTCGGGCCAGACTCCCTAAGAGGCCCCGCGGGGGAGGGGGCGGAGCAGCGACTCGGAGAGGACCACTGACGCACAGCTTCAAACAGCGTGCCACCGCCAGCCTGCTGGGAAAGCGCGCGGCGCAGACCAATCCGGCTGGAGGCGGAGGCCGGTTGGCTGGGGAGCGCCGGGCAGGGCGGAGGGAGACCGAGCAGAGGAGGGAGGGAGGGAGGGGCGCGGTGGGGCGGGGCGCGACGCCAGTCCCGTGGCCGAGCCCTCAGGCCCCACCCGCAGAAGCCCTGCTCGGGGCGCCACCCGAGCCCCCCAGGGCCCGGGCCTGTGGGGGGATCCTTCACGTGACTCGGTGATGCAGAACGGTTGTGACCTTCAATGTGTGTCTGTAAACGCGAGGGTCCCAGCAACTGTGCGGGTTTGCGCCCGGCCCTGCCCGGGGTGCGGGGACGTGTGGGTGTGTGAGCATATGTGGGCGTGTTGGGGAGGGTGCCCAGAGACATGTGACAAAGACCCGTCTCCGGGAGATGGTGAAGGGGCCTGCGAGCTGGCGCTTTGTCTGGTTGTCTGCAGAGCCGCGGCGGCGCCCGCCTGAGCAGCGCAGGATGCTTGGGCGCCAGGGTGGCCCGGGGCGCGCGCGCCCGTGCCAGGGTGAGTGTGCTGCGGCAGCGCCGTGGGG